TTCTACATGACAGCCCTTCAGATACTTGAAGACTGCAATCATGTCCCCTCTAAGCCTTCTCTTTCCCAGGCTAAACATACCCAACTCTTTCAGCCTTTCCTCATAAGACTTGGACTCCAACCCTCTCACCATCCTGGTTGCTCTCTTCTGGACACACTTGAGCTTGTCAACATCCTTCCTAAAATGTGGTGCCCAAAACTGGACACAGGACTCCAGGTGAGGCCTGACCATAGCAAAATAGATTGCATTAGCTTTCTTTGCAGTCACATCACACTGCAGGCTCATGTTTAGCTTGTGATCAACCAGAACACCCAGATCCCTTTCACATGTGCTACTGTCAAGCCAAGTCCCTCCCATTCTATATCTGCACCTTTGATTTTTTTGTACCAAAGTGCAGGACTTTGTACTTCTCTCTACTGAAATTCATTTTATTTGTCTCGGCCCACTGTTCCAGCCTATCTGGATCATTTTGAATCCTGACTCTGTCTTCTTCAGAATTAGCAATCTCACCCAGCTTCGTGTCATCTGCAGATTTGATAAGCATCCCCTCTGTGTCTTCCTCCAGGTCATTTATAAAAACACTGAACAACACCGGGCCTAGGACCGAGCCCTGTGGCACTCCACTCGAGACTTCCCTCCACGTAGACGCAGAGCCATTTACGAGCACTCGTTGGGTACGATTTTTCAACCAACCATGAATCCATCCAACGGTTGCACCATCCAGCCCACCCTTAAGCAGCTTATCCTCAAGGATATGAGAAACTTTGCAGAATGCTTTATTGAAACCTAGATACACTATATCCACAGCATTGCCATAGTCAATTGACCTTTAATGGATTAAAGATTGGTTAAACAACAGGAAGTGGAAGAAGAGTAGGTTTTTATACCCCACGTTTCTCTACCTTAAGAAGTCTCAAAGCAGCTTCCAATTACATTCCCTTCCTCTGCCCACCACGGGAGGGGGGGGGGCGGAGAGAACTGTGAGAGCAGGAATAAACTGACAATTCTTGCAATGAAACGAAGTGAGTAGTGGGGTCCCACAAAGGTTGGTCTTGGGACCAGTACTATTTCAGTTATTTATAAAAATGATTTGGAACTGGGGTGATGAGATTGGGGTGGGATTATGAAAAGCTCCAGGAGGAGGTCTCTAGTGGGCAACAAAGTGGCATATGTTGGTAAGTGTGACGTACACTGGAACAAAACACCCTAACTTTAAATAGGTTCTGAACTGGCTGAGACCAAAACTAAGAAATCTTGGGGTTGTGCTGGAAAGCTCGATGAAAGTGTTGGTTCAGCTTGTAGCAGCAATGAAAAAGGAAAACTGCACACTGGGGATTCTTAGGAAACAACTGAGAATAAAGCAGTCAGCATTTTAGTGCCTCCATGCAGAGCAATGGTGCCCCCACACTGTAACACAGTGTAACAATCCAGTTGTCATATCTCAAAAGAGCTAGGTTAAAGTACAAAAGAGAACAACTCTGACCATTAAGGGATTCTGGAACTTCTCAGTTCAGAAAAAAAGATTACCAAAGGGGGTGCATTATTTATAAAATTATGCCTGGGGTGAACAAAGTGAATAGAGTGAGCCTTTCCTCCCCCTCTCATGATACTATAACTCAGGGACATCCAATGAAGTTGATGAGCGTTAGGTACAGGACAGGCACAGGTAGTATTTACCCACCATGTAGTTAAATTGCGGAATCCACTTTCAGTGGACACAGTGATACCCTTAAGCAAAGATGGCTTCAGCAGAGTGCCAGGCCCATTCCTGTCAACGGCTGCTGGCCATGGTGAGTCCAGGGAAACCCCCCCCCATTCAGAGGCAGTGTTGACGCCTGGAGCCAAGGGCCAGGAGGCAACCTCAAGAGAGGGCCTTGGCTTCCATGTACTGTTCATAAGCTTCCAGCACAACTGACTGACCAATGTGTGAAAGAGAAGGAGCTGGTTCTTATGCCCCGCTTTTCTCCATCCTGAGGACTCCCAAAGTAGCTCCCCTTCCTCTCCCGGCCACAGGAACCTTGTGAGGCCGGTGGGGGGCTGAGAGAGCTCTGAGAGAATGACTGTGACGTGTCCGTGTGCTGCTGTGCACAAACCAAAGAGCTGTAAGGAATCCCTGAAGCAAAGAAGGTAACACTCTGGCCTTCTGCATGTAGCCATAGAATTTGATTATCCAGATGTCAGGAATGTGGAGGGGGATACCGCCTCCTCGTTCCCAGCTCATCCCTGTCCAGCTTCTACATGCTATCTCTGAGCTTGACCTTGTTGTTGTTCCCAGCTGCAATTAACTCGGCTGGGAAAGCTAACGGCTTCTGAGCTTTGCCCGCTCGCTTGCTAGCTTCAGCCCGCGCGTGTGCAAAATATATCCATTGGCTTCAGCTTATGGGGGGGAAGTTTGATTATACTATAAATCAGAGGCCATTATACTATAGACCATTCCTGACACCATCTGTAAACGTGTTCTTTAGTACTGGACTCCCAATAAACACTTATCTTCTGAAGCAGCCTCTTGTGTGGTGTGCCCTGACTAAGGAGCCTGACACCAGACTAGGAAGTTGTCAATATATTCCCAAGGAAGAAAGATCTTTGGCTGACTTTTCCTACCCTTACTTATATCAAAGGAGATATAAGGACTGTAAGGTTATTCGGGCAGGTAAACAGCTCTTTAGCTTCATGAAGTGTTATGGCTTTGTGATTTTAAATGGACTAAAGGATTTAGACCACAAAGGCAATTTTACCTGTGTAACACACAAAGGTATTAGCGTAATCGATTACCTATTCCCAAGTACAATACCTAAAAGAACACTGCCTCACCTCCATTCCATCCATTGCCATCGTAGCAAGATAATTGGGGTCCTGTTTATTCCAGCAAAGGCGGAGCAACGGGTGATGCTGAGGATCCTCATAGATAATAGTGCTGTGCTCCAGATGCCGCAAGTCAAACATCCTGACTGAGCCATCAGCACCAACAGAAGCAAACATGTCTCTCCCACCTCCTGCACGGCTGAATGCAATATCGTATACCTGTTCATATGCCAAGAACAGAAAATATGACAATAACGAAATTGTATTTACTCCAAAATCACTGTCTTCTGCTATAAGTCTTGTTATGCAAACTCCATTAGTATTCATGATAATGGTCATACAATAACAAACCATAGGCATTACAGCCTTCCTCTGGCCTTTAAGGACAGTTCCATCAGGAAAGTATCACAATCATTAGTGCCCTATACTACAAAATGCTTTCCTGTCTTTGTTATGCTCATATCCCAAAACCAATGACCTCCTAGGATAGAGACAGATGAATCCAACTCTGAAATTGTAACAGAACACTGACAGCCCACTCTCAGACACATCACCAGTCCCATCTCATAAATTAATACAGGCTCAAAATGACCTAACGGAGACAAAACATGCATCATCACCTCTTTATCATGAGCAATCAGCTGGGTCTTGACATGGCCTGACACCAAATTCACTCTCCCCAAGACCTGGCCAGTCTCCAAACCCCAGATCGTGCAGGTTGTGTCAATGCTCGAAGTGCCTCGGGGGGGGGGGGGGGGGGGGGGGAACCCACACCCATTACACATGATGCATCTTAACTGAATTTAAGTTCAATAAATAGATGATACATTATGGCACACTTAATGTCTGACCCATTAAAAATCAGAGTAACTGAATTTGTAAATTTTAAGAATAAAGGGGTTCCAGTACTGGTCACTGTGGTACCCAAGTGGGTGTTGCTACCCAGCAACAACAAACCCGGCAGGGCAGGACAAGCCCACGGGCTCAGCAGCAAGGCAGGACTAGGGGGGCAGGAGGATGCAGTCAGGACAGCCTCGGCAACAGGGCGGCTCTGAAAGTCTGCCCCAGGGAAATCCAGACGGTGTGGAGGCAGTGAACAAGCCTGGATGAGAGGACAATGGCTCTCTGGGCCGCAGGTGGTTTAAGGTAGGGTGTGGCTCGGGAAAGCAGGGAACAGAGAAAAGGACAGGCAGGTTTGAAGCTGATGCTATACAAAGGGAGGAAGGGGGAAATGAAAGGAGGCTGGCTGGAGAAGAAGTGGGAAGAAAGAGTCAGGTTTGCAGTGCTGTGGCTCTTCTATGTAATACAATGAAACCCTGAGTTGGGTGGAGTTCACCACACCTTCAGGTGCGTGGATTGGTGAATAAAGCAACCTAAGAAAACAGTGACTGCACTGGTGATTTTGAAACCCCATGGACCCAAGGTACGATGTTCCCCTGCCTCCAGAGGACACAACGGTCACATCAGTCTAATATTTAAAAGTATTAATTTGTTACCACTAAAGCTTCACAAATTATAAAAAAGTTACAAAACAAAAAATTAAATTCTAATCCATTCCACCCTAACATTATGCAAATGTGTGCATGAAACTGAAATGCAATTAATATTTACACAAGGTGATCCATGGCAGAGCATCTGCTTGGCACGCAGAAGGCCCCAGGTTCAAACCGAGGCATCTCCAGTTAAAAGGACCGGGTGGGAGGTGATGGGAAAGACCCCTCCGCCTGAGACCCTGGAGAGTGGCTGCTGGTCAGAGGAGGCAATAATGACCACAATGGACCAAGAGCCTGACTCAGTCTAAGGCAGCTTCCTGTGTTCGCGCGCGCGCGCGTGTGTGTGATTGACTGTTATCCTGGAAGCCCAGAGATGGCCCAAATAATGCAACATTAAAAAGGACTTGAAACTCATGCAAGACATAAGACGGATTTAGTTATGTTTTAAGATGAAGAATAAGGGGGTACCTACTCATAATTTTTCCAGATCTGAGGAACAAGGAACATCCCCTGCCCCCTCGAACCCACATGACATAATCAAAACAAAACAATCACCCACACAAACTCATTCACAAGAACACTTGATTACCGTCAAAAAGGCTAGCAATTAATATTTCAAGCCATCCTAATTACAAAGTTAGAGATGGAATATGGGTATGTGCAAAGTACCGTCAAGTCACAGCTGATTTATGTCGACCCCACAGGGGGGCATTCCAGGCAGAAGACAAAACAGAGTTGGTTTGCCATCACCTGCCTCTGTGTAGCAGCCTTGGACCTCCTGGGTGGCCTCCCACCCAAATACTGACTAAGGCTCCTCCTGCTTAGCTCCCAAGATCTGATACTGAAGTATTATTCCACTGAATTTAATTTATTCTCTTTTTATGTAACTGGGAGATGGAGAAAGAGAATGATGACCATTAAATGAAGGAACAAACCAGTACAAAAGCTTGCACTTTGAACAACATATTCACCTACAAAACCTAACAACTGAACAATCAAGTGTTTTAGCTTATAAATGCTACATGGAAGATTGCATTTTGATGGCTCAGAAACTAACCTTTCCTGCACCATCAGTCCTTCTAGCAAAATGACCATTCTGTGACAAAGAGCACAACCAGGCAATGTTACAGGGTTTTTAAAAGCTAACTCAGCTACAATTCAGACAGGTAACACTTTGTGTTTTGACCATATCTCCCCCTTTCCTGTGCAATGTTCCTGTCTTACCCAGCAAATAAGGATCCACTTCATTCCAATCAAATGATGTCAGCGGTGCACAGAAGTCAGAATTCTTGTTGTTGTTCAGCAAACACTCTAGTCTGGTCTCTGTTTCACCCACCTGCAACAAGAAGCATAAATGTTATGTCGGCCATTATAAGTAATCTACTTGCCCATTTAGAAAAATTAACACACTGAAGAAGTCCATCATTTAGGGGGAAAGTAGTTCTACATCCTGCTTTCTTAAGCTGCATTTAAAATATTTTTATCCTGCCCTTCCCAAAGGCTTGTGTTGCTAACAACACATTAAAAGCAAAGCAAAAATGAAACCCCTTTTACACAAAGAAATTAAAACTCAGCCGAATTTTAGCACAAGTTCAAACCTCTCACCAGCTGCCAATCCTTTAAGTGTCCAAGATAGAAGAATGCATTTGTCTGACCAGAAACTAAATAGTGTAACATTCAATCTTAATAAAAAGCTCTCCAAAAGAACCAGTTTTTAAAGGCCTTTCAGAAGGTCAGGCTTCTTTGCTGCTTAAGGTATCACTACATCAAGAAAGCTGCATGTTTTTATGCAGACTGGACACAATGCAAACTCACAAGGATTCTGCATTATATTAAGGGTTTCCACTCTTTTGGCTAGGGCACCAAAAATTAAACTGATAGGAACCCACCTCTTGGTGGTAACTTTTAATCTGAAAGGGAAGTTGCCTTTTACTCTGAACTGTGCTTAGCTCTTAGCTTAGCTTAACTCACAGTTGTCAGTTAGCTTAACTCACACCTCTGTTCAGGAACTGAGAAAAACAAACACCTTCCAAGAAGCCAACTTACCCTCCATACACGCAAGTAGTCCCCACTGGTTGCCAAAAGATCTGGATAAACCCCCTTGGTGTCTGGGATCCACATTAGCTTGGTAGTAGGATATGGGTGATCAAAAGTATTCCTACAAATGAACTCTGAGCTTTCCTCATCTAGACCTACAAGTTGAACCTATAAGAAGAAATTATTCTCATTCACAATTCTGTCCACACATCATTGTCCAATCCCAGGGTCAGCCAACCCACCAGTTTCTGTACAGTATTCAGAAATTATAACATAAATACAACTTTGTAAATTCTTACAAGTGACATGGATAACTAAATATCTACCACCACTCCCATTCTCTCCCATGCTGGGATGGGGCAGGATAGAGCAATTCTTGCTTCCAGTGCAACAGCCTGAAGCACCTACTCATTTAACAACAATAGGTCACTCAGCACAGCTACAAACCCAGGGACTAGGTCCTGAATAAACAGACACAGATCAGATACCGAAAATGGAAACAACACTGGAACTCTTCAAGCTCTGGATATTCAATCACAGCTTTAAAGTTGCAGAACTTCGGCAATGCTGCAGAATCCACTGGATTTCAGTAAGAAAGTGCTGATTGAAAATTCAGGGACGTACTAAAACAATGCCAATTTACTAGAGGTGTGCATTCGGTAAAGCTGAACCGAAACCCCACCAAAAAAACCTTCTTTGATGTTTTTCGGGTATTTGGCAGACTAAATCAGATCCCCTGAGCTGATTTCGCTGCCAAATACTGAATGCTGAAACCCCCGCCCAAAAACATTTGGGTGGGGTTTTTTTGCTTTCTTGGGGAGACACTGCTGCTTGCCTTTTCCCCATCCCCATAGGGAACAATAGAGGATTAGGGCACCCTCTTTGGATGCCCCTAGAATTGGACCCCCGGGTCCAATCTTTTCAAAACTTGGCGGGTCTTTTGGGGAGAGGCTCCAGCAGCTACAGTACAAATTTGGTGCCTCTATCACAACCCCCCCCAGCCGCCTGAATACTTGTTAGAAGATTTTTGCCATTGACTACTATGCCCCCATAGGCTATAAGCGAGCCGAAAATTTTCGAGAATACTGAACATTTTCGGGTACCAATAGAATACCAGTATTGATATTCAGGTATATTTGGGAATCCCGAAAAAAATCTGGCTTTATTATACCTGAATTGGGGGGGAAACTATTTTTTCCCCCTGCACACCCCTACAATTGACTTGCATGGCCTCCAATGAAATACATTACAGCACACAGTTGTAAACCAAATGCAGAACAGATTTAGAGAAACCTATTCTCAGACTGGAATGGCAGTCCCTGGGAGTGGAATCAGTGCTCTTGGACTGGAATGACAGTCCCTGGGACCAGATAAACTGCCCTGATCCTGAACTGAAACCCCCAGAGTTGAATGACAATCCCTGGGACCACATAACTATTCTGGGACTGGAATGATAGCCTCCAGATTGGAATGACAGTTCCCTGGGAGTGGCATTAATGTTCTGGGTCTGGAATGACAGCTGCCACAGTGGAATAACGGCCCCTGGACTAGGATAAGTGCTCTGGGACTGGAATGACAGTCCTCAGGGTAGAATAAGGGTCCCTGGAACCAGATAAACTGCCCTGGGCCTGGAATTACAGCCCCCATAGTATAATGCTCTGGGACTGGAGAGAAGATCCCAGAGTGGAATGATGGTCCCTGGACCCAGATAAACTCACTGTGGGACTGGAGTGACGATCCCCAAAGTGGAATGACAGTTCTTAGGACTGGATTTATACCTGTCAACAGTGCAAAATGACGTTAACTGATACAAACTTCATGACCCTAGAAGGAAACAAAATAGCTGAGAGGCAGGATAACTAATGAGTCAGTACTGATCCCGCCCCCACCCCCCCATCTCTTGGCCTTTGAAAAGACATGGGGAGAGATCTGCACCACAAGCCCAGAAGTGGGGCCTCATGGCATTTTAAAATCACTGTATAACGGTGATGTCAAGCTTAGTTTTGCCCTTTCATCATCAGCTGATAAATACACCAGTAGATAGCCAACATGTCCGGAACATTCAAATCAGGGTAACTTCACATCAGAGGACTGCATAGTGTTCTGCTGCAGTTGCAAAAGATATCATGTAGTTTTTCTACTACCAGCCACCATAAAACTGCCAAAGTATTTCATTCACAAACAGCTTGTGTGCATTAGAGATCATGTTAAACCAGCTTTGCTCAGCACTTAGTTTTGCACAGGTATATTTTCATTTATGAATCCTTCCTGTAGTCACAAAAGTGAGTGACAGGTAAGATGGTCAGTCCAGAGGAGGTGGTCAGGGGAGTGTCAATGAGAAGGAAGAAAGCAGAGAATTGTTGACCTGCCCCTGAGGTATGAGAGAGCCAGAAACAGTCAGAGTACTGGGGTCAAGACAGGCAAATGGTCTGATGTGCTATAAGATTTATATATTAAAATCTTTGCATATGAAAGTATACATCACCTAGAGTATAAAATGTGACTTATCAGAGGGTGGATAGTGTGGGCCAGTGGTCAATATAGTGGGCAAAAGTGCCCAGGAAGCTCAGGCAGGGTGTGATACATAACAGGAACATGGAAGAAACAGATTGGATACAATTTATTTATTTAGGTTACTTATAGTCCACCTTTCTTCCGGAGACTCAAGGCAGATTATGTAGCATAAGTCAAGTGCAACCAATAGGATGGTATATCCAATAAACAGTGAAATAGGGATTGGACTGCAGAAAACTGAAAACAAATAGAAATCCAAAATAGAGCTGAAACGAGCCTGAAACAAAGCATAAGCATTTAAACATGACATGCTACCTAATCAGAGCATACTTGCAGTGACAGGCAGCATTACAGTAGTAGGTCAAAGTCCCTCTCCCTTGACAAGTGAAACTTTCTGAACAATTTCATGACAGTACAGCCCTATTTACCTAGGCAAAAAAGCCATCTTGAATAATTCCGTTGTGCATCATTTGCAGGGAGCCAGGGGGGGGGGGCTTCGTGACCTCCTCAGACTGGCCATTCCACAGGGTGGGGGCCACAACAGGGAATGCATACGTATGAGTCGTTATCAATTTTGCTCGTTTGCAGGACGGCACCTACAGAAGGCCCTGCTGAGATGAAGCTGTTTGGTGAAATATAGGGAGAGAGGCTGTCCTGCAGATATGAGGGACCAAGGCCACAAAAGCCACAAATATGCAACAGTCAACAGTTGGAACTGAGCCCAGCGACTGATGGGCAGCCAATGGAGTGACTCTGCAGACTCTGGGACTACTAATGCACATGCTCCAACCTAGCTACAGCCATCTGAATTTAACGGGTGTCTTCGAATTAGCTTCTGGGGAAACCTACGTAGAACATATTACAGTAGTCTAGTTCTGATGTTACCAAGGCAAGGATGCAGATGGCCAGATCAGCCAAGTCAAGGTGGGGGCATCATCTTGTGGGCTAGACTGAGTTGGAAGAAAGCATTTTTTTTTTTGCAGCTGTGTTAATTTGAATAATTCCATTTTGTGGCAATACGGGATCTAGTCCAGACCCAAGGGTCTTAACTGAGTCAGTTAATCTCAACTGAACTTCATCAAAAGTGGGAAGCACAACGTTCTTCAAGACATCCATCTTCCCAACCAACATCACTTCTGTCTTGTTTAGGTTCATTTTCAATTTATTTGCTTTCAGCTGTTTGACCACAGCAGTCAGGCAGTGGCTCAGGACCACTATTACATCACCAGGGAGGTTGGCTAGAGAGATGGAGAGCTACCCAGCCTCCAAATACTGATGACACCCAATTCTAAATGATTTCTTCTGCAGGCTTTACATAGAGGTTAAGTAATGCAGAGAATGAGGATTGCACCTCGTGTGGAGACCTCACAGGACAGCCACCAAAGTGAAGGCAGCTGCTCTCTCCAATGGCAGCCCTTCTGAGGAATGACCCACAGAGGAACGGTTTAAGCCAGTCCAAGGCACATCCCCTGATACCTTTATGCCTCCAAAGGCCTCAGGACGATGGCATGATCTGCTGTGCCAACGCCTGCAGACAGATCCAGAAGGACCCACCAAAAACACAGCCTTTGTCTACATTCAGCTGAAGCCACCAGAACAGTCTCTGTCCCATACTCCACCCAGAAACCAGCTCTCTCAAGTCATTTGGCCTAGAAAGGGTAGACAGAAACTGGGTGATAATTAGCAACATTGGTTTTGTGTAAGGATGGTTTTTTAAATAATGGACAGATGACCACCTGTTTCAGTACTCCAAGGGAAGGTGCCCTGGGTTAGTAACTGATTTATGATCATCATCATCAAGGGCTCATTTATGTAGTTCTTACATGATTTTAGCAGCCAGGATGGGTAAGGGTCCAGTGCATACATGGTGGACTTCACAGATCCCAGGATCCTGTCAATATCCACCACAGTAACTGGATCAAAATGGTCCATAAGCAGACCAGATGATGTGTTAAGCAACATGGCTCTAAGGAAGAAAAGTAAGGGGGAAAGAGAGTAAGATTTGTACTTCTCATCAGTGCAAAACGAGGCACCTGGAGAAAACCAAACAGCTGAGAAGCAGAATTACTAATAAGGCGGAGCTGATTCAGGAACCATTGCACAGCATTCAAAAACATTAATTAAATGCAGGAGCACAAACCTTGAATCCAGTGGCACCTTTAAGACCAACAAAGTAAAACTGCATGCACATGAAGGCTTACTTCCTGTGCATGCAGTTTTACTTTGTTGGTCTTAAAGGTGCCACTGGACCCCCCCCCCAAAAAAAATAAATAAATCCTGTTGCTTCAGACCAACACGGCTACCCACCTGAATTAAAAGTAGGGTATTTCATTCTACTCTGGGCTATCCAGTCAAGGTAGTTTTTGTCTGATCCAAGCGACAACCATTGGTCTCTGGGAACCACCACTCCTGTACTAGAACACCTACAGGAACAGGAGCCATGGTTCCATTCTGGGCTCTGCCATTCCAGTCCGAGAGCACGGATACCAGGCCCAGGGACCATCATGCCACTCTGGGCTATTATTCAGTCCCAGGGGCTTCCATCCCAGCCCCAGTTTACCTGTTCCCTTCCACCATCCTTCCACCTTGGGTGCCTTCGTCCCAGCCCCAGGAGCCATCGTCCCTCTCTGGGGACTGTCACTCGAACACCTGTGCCACCACTCCAGGCAGGGGCCATCGTCACTCCACTCCTAGCCAAGTCCATCCGGGCCCAAAGCCCCCCCATTCCGCTGCTCCGGGGCTTCCAGCGGCAGAGGGACTGAGTCCCCGTCCCGGGGCGGTCTGCAGGACCCCAGGCAGGGCCCACCGTGCCAGCCCTCACTCCCGGGCGCCCCCTCCTTCCTTCCAGCCTCAGAGCGGCCCTTCCCCCAAACCTGTCACGCCCGCAGTTTGCAGCCACGGGGGTGTGTGTGTGTGTGTGTGTGTATCTAACCTCAGTGGGTGGGGGCCATGCCAGGGCGGGCCTCGTTAGGTCCGGCGGGTGTCCGACGGCGGCGGCTCCCCGTGGACAGATGGTGGCGCCACTCCACCGGCACCTCTTGCGCCCGCCCGCGGCCAGGGCCCGTGTGCCAAAGGGGGCGCCCAGGGCTCTCTGCGCCTCCAGGTCCGCCTGGGGTGGGGACGTGGGGGTGGGGGCAGCCCCCCCCCCAGCCAGGATTTTGTGGGGCGACTTTTTTTTATCCTGGCGGGGCGGCCGCTGTTCTTCTCCTGCCCGCTCCAATCTGCCCCCCGAGCCCGGCGGCCGGTGGTCACCCCCCCTCCCCCTCCCCCTCCCCTTGGATGCTTTCGAGGAGGGGGGGGAGAGGGAGGGGGAGGCGGGCTCGCCCTGCAGCCTCGCAAGCGGAGCGCGGGGTCCTCCCCCCCCTCCCCTTCCCGCAGACCCGCCCCCCCGCACCTTGTTGTTGTACTCCTCGACGAAGCTGCCGAGGGCCAGCCGGAAGCGCTTGTCGGGCCGGACGCTCCAGTTCATGGCGTAGACGGTCCAGGGCGCCTCGTACTTGTAGATCTCCTTGCGCTTCCCGTGCAGCGACATGATGATGGCGGCGGCGGAGGGGGAGGAGGAGGAGGAGCGCGCCCCCCTCGACCACCACCGCTGCCTCCCTGCCCGCCCGCCTCCCTCAGGCCCGACAGCCGCCCTCGGCCTCCTCCTCCTCCTCCTCAGCCGCAGCAGCAGCAGCAGACAGCTCCGGCGGCGGCGGCGCGTTCCGGTCTCGGTCTCCGATTGGCCGGTCCCGCCGTCCCTCCCCCGGCTGACGTCGTTCTCATTGGTCGTCTGGCGCCTCCTTGGCCTCAGGCCTCGCGAGAGCGTCTCTCTTTTCGTCGTCCATTGGTGCGGGCGCCCGCCACTCCGGGGACGTGCAAAGCCAGGCCTGCGCCTGCCTGGCCTGGCCTGGCCTATCCTTGGGCGGCGGCGGCGGCGGCGGCGGCGGCGGCAGGGGGGTGGGGAAAGGGGTGCTCCGCGGCGCCGACCCGAGTCGGAAGGCGGCGGCGGCGAGTTTATGCAGCGCTTGGGGCGGGCCCCGACCTTCGGCGTGCGCGTGGGGAGGTCTGGGCGCCGCTCTGGCGACAGGCGGGCAGGGCCTCCCCTTCATTTCCCCTGCCATCAGCTTCATATGATACCCTTGGATTCTAGTATTCTGGGAGAGGTCTCTTTGTCCACTCTCTCCATCCCACGCACAATGTTATAAACCTCTATAACGTCCCCCCTCAGACTCTTCTCTTTTCTCAGCTGAGAAGTGCCAGGCTCTCCAGCCTTTTCTCATGGGGAAGGCGCTATCCTCTTGGTTGCCCTCCTCTGTTCTTTTTCCAGCTCTGCAATGTCCCTTTTGAGATGTGACCAGAACTGTAAATCGTATTCCAAATACAATGTCCTTTTTTGCGATATGGTGACCCACTACCGGATGGTACTAATGGGCCAACAGGGTCGCCCATTATACACAGTCTCTAGGATCTTCTCATTATGGGTAGTGTACTTGCCAGAGGACTTTGGGGCAGTTCCCTTTGCTCTGGGACTTGTGTCACAGCTCTCTTTTGCCTTCTCACAACTTACAACAGAAATTCCACACTCCTTTAACAACTTTTCAACACTCTGTATCCCACGATGCGCAAACTTCAAATGCCATGCACATAAGCAATTCCGATGATTACGAGAACCACGGCTGGTTTGATAAACTTGTCTCTCATCCAAAGACCCCACCACTTCTCTGGCTGCTTTCCTGCTCCGTATATATTTTTAAAGTGTTTATTGTTGTCAGGTTCAACAGCTCCCAAGTCCACACACACTCTTCAGGGAAAAGTTATGTTTTATTAGAATACCAAGTGTTGCCAAGTGGTACAGGTACATTGTTAGGAATAACGGTTAGGGCTGAGGCATCAATACATATACTCCGATGCTGCAGTTGGCCAAGCAGTGGAATGCAAGCCCTCCCTCCTCCTCCTCCTCCTCCTCCTCCTCCTCCTCAAGGTTACACAGATAGCACAGTCTGGCAGAGCCAGTTCGCACGGTCTCATGAGCGCCTCCTGATAGTTATTCACAGCAGTTAAGCAAAGCAAGCAAGCAATCATGTGTGCATGCACTACAGTCAGGGATGAACAAAAACAATGAAAGCACGGTAGCTAGCTGACAATTGTTTCTTGATGCTTTTAGCAACCCATTCCTCAAAATCTCTCTTTCCATGCCTACTTATTGACTTACATTTCGTTTGCCAGAGCCTGTGATCCTTCCTGTTCAATTCATTGGGTCAGACTTTCCACTTTTTAATAGAAGCCTCTTTACTTTTTATAGCTTCCTTAACTTGTGTTGTTAACTATGCAGGCCTTCTTTTAGATTTAGTGCCTCCATGGCAGAATGTGGAATTCAAACCTGAAGAAGTGAGCAGTGACTCACAAAAGCTCATACCCTGCCACATGTTTTGTTAGTCTTTAAGATGCTACTCGACTCTTGGCTGAGTTTAAACCAGGCTGCAGGTGAAGCCAGTGCAAAGCCCTGCCTGCGGGGAGCAATCTGCTCCTGGTGGCACAACAAATCCTGGGGCTGGCTTCTGCTGCAGCCCAGTTTAAACCAGGCTGCATGAGAAGCCAGCCCCAAGCCAAGCCATCAGGAACAGTGATTTATTTTTAAGTTGATGTTAACTAATGGTGATGGACAAGTTGTGTATAATTAACATTGTTACTAGATTGTACTGGACTAAAACTATTTATGTACACTTATATTAAGTTTGACAATTACTTTGTAAAAGTTGGGAAATTATTTTAAAAAATCTGAGTTACCTCACCACTTTTGTGGGTTCTGCAAGCAGCTCTTTTCTCTTCCTATTGGTTGTGGGGCTTGCCTTTACTGCTTCAGTCTCTGATTTTGGATTTTTCTCCTTTCTCTGGCAACCTGGCGCCCAACTTTCAAACCACTTACTAGGGGGGTTGCTAAGCGCCCTGGCACTGGCTGTGGGGTTTCCCTTTGCCTGGGTTGCTTCAGTCTCTGACTTGGGAGTTCCCTCTCTCCCATGGCAAACTGGTACGCAACTTTTAAACCACTTTTTTTTTTTGGGGGGGAGGTATGGACTTCATTGGGTTTCCACATCCTGGTTTCAACTACAAACTGAGTGGTTGTTTTTCCTCAGGACCTAGTCTCTATTCCTTTAGCATTAATCAGATTCAGTGGGTGGGGGGAATTCCAATCCTGATTACAGGATGGATTGTGGGCTGTGGTTTCCATGTTGTCGGGGGTAGATTCCACTACAGCACCCGGGTGAATGGTGGAGATGACTGCCTTCTGCAGTCCTAGCTGTTTCCTGAGAGACATGATTAGTCTCTGGCAGGCATCATGATTAGCCTGTTCCCTTTTAACTTGATTTCGGTCTGCTAGATATTTCGCATCATTACTAGCACAGTCTTTATGCCAAGCGTTTTGTATTGCAGTTTGCTGAGCCCAAGTTTGTATGTTTAAAAGTTGATATATTATTGAAATTAATCCTCTAGTTGATTGCTTGTTTTTGTAAATAAAAGATTCAAATTGGGTAAAGGGGCGGGTCAGCATATGTGTAATGTCTGGGTTAGCAATTAAGTGTCTAATTTGATAATAATGAATCCAGGGAATCGAAAATTTAAATTTAGTTTCTAGTTGTGGTTTAGTAAGGAGTTGCTTGTTCCGAAATAAATCTCCCAGTCTAATAAGTCCTTTTTCTTTCCATAGATTAAAAAAGAAAGGTTCTAGTCCTGGGATGAATCATTTCTGATTTAAAAATACAGTTAAAGGGGAGGTTGGGGGGGGGCTAGTATATTGCTAAATTTATCCCAGATATCTAAAGATAGTTTCAGAAATGGATTTGTTGGTTCTGTAAGTTTTCTATAAGTAGGGAATGCCCAGATCATTTCAGAAAGGTGTCCTGAAGATAGATTGTTTTGTTCAATGGCAACCCAAGCTTTGTTTATGGAAGGTTGAGCATAAAAATTTATTGCTTTCAACTGTGCTGCAAAGTAATATTTTTCTAAGTCAGGAAGTCCTAACCCTAAGCCTCCTTTCATAGGTGGTTTAATCAAAGTATTATAGCTAGTTCTTGATTTCTTATTGGTCCAAATGAATTTTAGAAACCAACTACGCCATTGAATAAAAGATTCCTTGGGGATTTTAATTGGTAAGTTCTGAAAAAGAAAATTTAGGAAATATAAAGGATTTTAGAAGATCAATTTTTTCTAGAAGGGAAAAGTTTTTTTGTCCCATTTTTCAATAGTGTTCTTGACTTCCTGGAACAGGGGAATAACGTTGGAATCATAGCGGTTGGATAGTTGCAAAGGTAAGTATTTCAATGTTTTAGGAACCCACTTAAAGGGGAATGTAGTGTTTAGGGTGTGTTGTTGTGCAGAGCTTAAATAAATGGGGTAAATTTCAGATTTTGTATAAATCCGATTCAAGGTGTATCTGAGGAATGATTGAAAAAATAAACCAGGTCTTCTTCGAAGGCGAGATGTCCCAACGGGTACTCTCCCAATGAACAAGATGTCTCAGCAGGGTCTTTCCGGTTGGTCAGGTAATTATGTACTATAGTTAGCGACAAAGAGTTGAGGATATTGAGCAACAATCTGACATCTCTAAGACTTCCAAACTCGGGGTGTTGTTAAATATCAAAAGCACCATTGAGCCGGCAATATATTTGACTTCAGTGGAGGGAAAGAATTCTAGAAGGGCATTTGCCCTAGTTCTGCCCTTCCATCTGCGGTTATTCAAGGCAGGTACAACAAAAACCCCTACTCTGAATGGCTATGCCCATGCCTTTTAAGTTAGGTTGAATCGGTAGAGCAAATGTTCTTCAGCTGTCCATTTTACAGGGAGGCTCGTCTTAAAATTATTACCCCATTAGTTGATAGGACACCTGGGCACATTAAAACAAACAAAGCAGGTACTTTGGCATGTGTTGCATTCACTCAGGACCCTTTCAATATCAGCGTCTTTCTGGCCAGTGCCTTCATTTGCACCATGCCTGGGTGTGCTGCATGTAGTTCCTAGTATGACGACATCGTGCTTTTGGAATGTCCACCCTGTTTCCTCATAGAAAGCCTTATGAGCTTACAGTTCGTACTGATGGGATGAAAATGGCCTGAATACGTCAGCCAGTTTTTCTGTGCGCCATGCACAGTAGAGAAGACAGGCCATGATGGGATCATTTGCTGTCATTCTAGCAATCTCTGTAGCCTTAAGAGGGGCTTCTGGCATGGGTTCCAGCATAAGGACATTATTGGAGGAATGGCACAGTCAGGTATCAGCCTGGGGCCCCATTCTCCCGCACGCAGGAGTCAGGCCGATTGGCCTAGGAGTGGGGTGTGTGCGCGTACGAATACCCTATACCCCATTATGCTTGTAGGAAAGTAACTATTCCTAACAGTGACGATGTTACTGCCTCTATAGCTCTTACATTAAAGTATAACCTGATACTTTGTTTGGCTGTGGAACCTGACATTTTGTTTGTTGTTTATGTGTATTTTTTTGTATTTACTGTTTTATTGCATTTTAATGTTTGTACGCCACATTGATCCAGTTCACCTGGCAAGGCGGGATATAGAAAGTAATAAATAAATAAATAAAACTAGAAAGGTTATGTCTGTCTGATAAGTCCATAGCAAACATCTACATCACACGGTTGGGCAGTGACCAGCACAGACGCTTACTGCAGAGCTCTGAGGATT